TCACCATAAGTAACGAATCCTTTGGCCTTAAGCGTTAGATGTGAAAATTTGCTTAGGTCACCCGTCATGTGCCTCGAACATCCACTATCAAGATACCATTCATTTGAAGAGGTCTTCAAGCATACCTACAAAAAAGAGTTAAGTTTTATTAGGTACCCAAATTGCCTTGGGTCCTTCAAAGTTAGTTCCTTTCTTTACCCATACATAATGGCCTTGAGCAACACTAAAATTTCTAACATAACAAGCATTTGGAGTATGTCCTTTTATACCACAATAGAAACATGTAGGCTTAAAATTGCTTTTATATCTATGAGGATATGATTTCTTCTTATTGTTTGTTTTCTTCTTGACATATTGATGAACCTTTTTATGATTTTCACCTTTTTCAATAGGAACTTGTTCTTTAGCTTTGACAAATATGGTCTTGTTAAAAGTTGGTTTAGAAAATTTTGAATAACCAAGACCACTTTTATCATTTGAAAATATTTGATTCCTAAGAACACTTTCCAATCCAACTTGTCCTTTTTCATATCTTTCTAGGACCCTTTTTAATTGGACTATTTGAAAAGAGAGTGACTCACATTTAGTGCATGCAAAGTTCTTAATTAATTTTTCCTTTTCATCTTTAAAATTATTTTTCATTTTCTCAATATCTTCTTCCAAAGATGATATTTGTTTCTTTTGAGATGAAATGGTTTTATATAGAATTTTGCACTCACTTAAAAGTTCATCAATTGCTTCTTGAGCATCATTACCAAAAATAGAGAAATCACTACTAACCTTGTTGTCTTTATCGTCGGAATGATGTGATGCCATTAATGCGAGATTTGAGCTTTGATCACTATCGGAGTCTGATGAAGAACTTATTTCGTTGTCGTCCCAAGCAATGTAGGATTTCTTCTTGAAATCCTTCTTTCCTTTGTGGTCATGATTCTTTGTGAGTTTAGGACATTCTGGTTTGATGTGGCCTTTCTTCCCACATTCATAGCATGTAATATCTCCATTTGATGTTGATGTTTCCTTTTCTTTATTTTTTGAGAACTTCTTTCTTCTTGTATAACTTGAGTTTCTAACATTTTTTTTGCACCAAAATATTTTCCAAGTCTTTTTACAAGAAGCGTAAAGTTTTCGTCTTCTTCGGGATCGTTTTCTTTCTCCACTTATTTGGATTCGACTTTCAAGGAAATGCTCTTGGATTTCTTTTCTTGAATTTCATGTTTCTCCAATCGTCCAAGTTCCGTCTCATATTCTTGGAGTTTTCTGAATAACGTAGCGAACATCATTGTTGATAGACTTTTCTTTTTGGAGATCGTCGTCACTTTCGGTTGCCATTCTCTTTATAAAGACCTAAGCACTTTAAGATTAAGTTCATCATTGGTTAGTGTCTTACCAAGTGCATTCAAGTGATTTGTCAAATGCACGAATCTTTTCTGCAAGTCTAAGATGGATTCTCTTGGTTGCATTCTGAATAGTTCATACTCCTGACTCAATGTATTTAATCTGGATCGTTTGACTTTGGCGGTTCCTTCGTGAGTTTCAACAAGAGTGTCCCATATTTGCTTAGTCGTTGTACATGTTGAAATACAGAAGAATTCATCCATTCCAAGCACACTTTGTAAAATATTTATTGCCTTTTTGTTGTAGAGAACTTTCTTCTTATCATCATCATTCCATGATCCTCGCGGTTTTGATGAGCCGACTTCGTTGACCACCGTTGTAGGAACAAATGGGCCATTTTGGACAGCTTCCCTTATTTCACTTCCTTGTGCTTCTAGATGTGCCTTCATGCAGATTTTCCAGAAGTTGAAATATTCGCCACAGAATAGAGGAGGCTTGTTGCTACTGCCACCGTCTTTGAATACAAGATTGTTATTTGCGGAAGCCATCTGGATCAGATAGGAACAGGTTACCTATAACCTGCTCTGATGCCAATTGTAAGTAGTAATTGCGCCTAAGAGGGGGGGGGGGGGTGAATTAGAATCTTAAAAATTATTTTCAATCTTGTATGGTTCCTTGGTTTTTTTTTCAGTTATTAGTTAGTGACTTGAAATTAAAGGCAGGAAAGAAAAAGAGACACAGGAAATTTATAGTGGTTCCCTTCACACTCCGAAGGTACTCCACTTCCCTTTTAACACGAAAGAGAATTTCACTATAGTTCAGAATAATTGCAAAGCCTAATCACTCCAAAGGTCATGCTTACTATCTAAACCTATAGGTAATCAAACTGAATGAAGAACAATCCTCTTCCAGACACTTCACTTGTTTCCAACAGTCCTGGACAACAAGGTAATACAAAAAAATGTTCTTGAGAAATATTTGATGGAAAGTTGTTATCAATCTTCAGGACTGATCTTCTTCTTAAAACAAATGTTACTCAGATAAATATACAAGTGTTCTTTGTGAAAGAAGGCTGTGAGAGTGTGAAAGTTAAATCAGTGGCTTATTTCAAAATTAGTTTTGAACACTTAGAATGAAAATTCAGATTTGAAGAAAGTGAGTAATTTGATTGAATTTGTTTCTTGAAGGTTTATTGTAATTTTGAAATTAAGATCAATTTATATGCATCAGAAACCTGTTCAAAAGGGTGTGATTTTGAAGCAACAAAAAAAATAGCCAATAATGAAAATATTAAACAAAGCAATTTTCCATGAACAGCTGCCATTTTTGTTTGTTGTTACAGTGTTAATCGATTAACCAAATAGGTTAATCGGTTAACACCTTCACAACGTTCAAAAATATTCAAATTTTTCATGTGTTAATCGGTTAACCTTGGGGGTTAATTGGTTAACACTGTTGTAAAATCCCAAAACATATAATTTTGAAGTGTGTTAATCGGTTAACCAAAGTGTTAAATCGATTAACACTGAAGGTTTTTTTGAAAATACTTAATTTTAAATAGAATGAGTATTTTAAAATAGTTTTAAAAGTGTTAGTGATGATTGTGAAGTGAAGAGTGATTTTTAAGAACACTTGTATAAATATTCTTAAGTAAAATATGTTATATTGTTCCTTTGAATCATCATCATCACTTGTAGCTTATAGATGAAGCTTTGTTCCATAGAGTCATACGTGAGGGTACTTCCTTGATCTTTGATGGTTGCTTGCGTCTCTTACTTTTTGCGAAGAATATCTTGCGTACCAAGCTTATACTAGTTGTCCTCATCAAAACATAAAGGCCTTGAAGCTTGCTTCTACACATCATAGATCCTACTCTTGTTCACCAACTCAGAAAATTGCTTAATCTCATGATAACCAATAGCTTGCTTTATTTCAGGCCTTAAACCATTCACAAACTTAAGACACTTGGATCTCTCAACATTAGTAATGTTGTAATGAGACCAAAACTTAATCAATTCCTTAAATCTTGCTGCATACTCAGCCACAGTTATGTTACCATGCTTCAGCTCAAGAAACTCAATTTCCTTCTTCCCACGCACATCTTCTGGAAAATACTTCTCCAAAAACGCTTCTCGAAAACATCCCAAGTAACCTCAACCTCACCTTCTTCAAACCTCTGACGAGTATTACCCCACCAGTCCTCAGCTTCCTCTTCAAACATATGAGTGCCAAATTGCACCCTCTATGCATATGAACAGTTTATGACTAGAAAGATATTCTCAATCGCTTTCAGCCATACTTGTGCTTTGTCAAGTTCATGCATTTCCTTGAAGATTGTCGGATTGTTCCTCTGATACTTCCACAAAGCTCGGAACTCATCATCAATGTTATTTCCAGCATTCACGTTGACTTGCGAATTCTGTTCAATCGCTCCAGCCAACATCCCTAAAGCTTCAACAATCGCTTCATCATTCCTTCCTGCAACCAATGTTCTAGATTCCAACAAAAAATCCTCATTAGAAAAATAATATCGGTAATGCTACACACACATATCAGATATAAAAGGAAATAAACACACTAACAACTTGGTCAACTGACCAATCAGGCTTTGATACCACTATCATAACACCCTTCTAAACCCCGCGGAATATATATATATATATATATATATATATATATATATATATATATATATATATATATATATATATATATATATATATATATATATATATATATATATATATATATATATATATATATATATATATATATATATATATATATATATATATATATATATATATATATATATATATATATATATAATCAAAGTAAATCATTGTAAATCTCAGAAAAGATTGTCAAATAAAATTTTAATACATCACACAAACACATGTCATACTCAATAACACCTAAAATAAATTCATGTTTTTCATACACTTTCACATTAGCATGTAGCAGCGGATTTACTTCAATCATAATAGACATAATGAAAGTCTCACACTAGTAGAAAAAATACTTTATAATAGAGGTTGTTAAGTCAGTTCACCTGCCACCTGACTTAAGAAGTGATGCGGTGGCAATTTCGTAAATATTTGTAACATTGTTAAGTCAGTTAGATTTAGAACTGACTTAAAAAAAATAAAAATAAAAATATATAATTTCTATTAAATTTCTTAAGTCACTTGTGTTTATTAACTGACTTAAAAAACATATTTATTAAGTCAGGTATAGAATACCTGACTTAAGAAGTTTTATTCAAACCCTTTTCTCACTACAAACCCTTCTTCTTCACAACAAACCGTTCCACCACACCTCATCACCCAAATCTTCGTTCTCTCCTCCTCCAACTCTCCACCTCATCACCCAAATCTTCCCTTCATCAATCCCTTAACCATATTTGCGACACCCTTTCCTTTTCTCAATTTCCTCTCATCTTCTCTACCCTAAAAGCTCCACCTTCCCTCCACCGTGACAACAACCCACGTCTCTCTTCACTTCTCTGTCGAAAATCAACTACCAAATGGTTGGCGAAATTCGCTTCCGTCGATAGCAACCCTACGAAATTCGCTTCTCTTCACTTCAATCGCTTCCGAAATTCGCTTCTCTTCACTTCAATCGCTTTCGAAATTCGCTTACGTCCATAGCAACCCTACGAAATGGTTGGAGACAAAGGAATGCCGATTTGTCTTTCTGATTTCGCCGCCGGCGGCGAGATCCGTGTACTACCGCAGTGTGGATACGGATTCCACGTTGCCTGCATAGATACGTGGCTTGGGTCCCACTCTTCTTGCCCTTCATGTAGACAGATTCTGAGGGTCACCAGGTGTCAGAAGTGTGGCCGGTTTCCGGCGACCGGTGCTGAAGCTACCGCCATTACCGTTAATGAACAAGAGTTGAAATCTGCAGAAGACAACAATGTTGGTGCAAATAGTAATAATAATTGTAGCGGGGGTGTTAGTAGTAGTAGTAGTAATAATTCTAGAAATCACAGCCACAGTGTAAACAGTGGGTTCTTGCCTTAAGAACACTAAAGTTCTAGGTTTTTTTTTGTATATATGCGAACAATACTGTTCCTGTTTGAGTCTACCAGAGAATATTATTTCTTTTTGAAATTTACTTCCACTATTTTTGTTTCTTCAGGGGCATAATGATGATGGATGCGCGTGCACTCCAAGATGTTGCTTTTCTAGGGACAGAATTTCTCAAACTTGATGGTTAGCTCCTTTACTTTGCATCTCTAATTTCATCCATTGAAATAACTATGTGTAATGCAATTGTAATATCAATAAACACCATTCTTTTCTATCTTTTGATCTAGTTTCTATCACAAACTTATATGGTCAACTTACATTCTCATTTATGCTACATAGCTCGGGCAAGAAAGGATACTGAGAAAATCGACCGTGGTGTGAAGGAAAAAGCTAAGCGCCTTAATCGTATTGCTACTGTATGTATTGTCTAGAATCTTCAATTTTACTGGTTTAATATGAAAGAGTACTTACCAATGGTACAATGTTTTTTATCTTTGTTTATATTTTATATGCTCTGCAGATCTTGAAGGATATAGCTCAATCCAGATTGAAAAGTGCTGCCGATGAGCACTGGAGTGATGGGGCCTTAGAGGTAAATCTGTTAATCTCTAATCTATCAGTTTTGATTTGCAATTGATAGTCTTGGTTGGTTTGATATGTAATCAGTGTTGATATAATTTACGATGCATGATATTTGTGTACTCATTATTTGTTGGAGACATGCCCGGTGTGCCCAACACGACACCCAAACATGTGATTATATTCAATTAATTCATTATCTAATTTTACATGTGCTTTATGGTTTATAGTTCATTTGGATGGCCGGAAAATACAAGATTCCTTTTGATATAATCTTTAAACTTTCAGGCCGATTTGCCTATGGTTGTTTTAAAAGCAAATGAAGTGAAAATCATAGTTGGAGAATGACGTGATGATTAGTTATTTCCCTATTGGTTTGACTGCCTTTATGATGGAATTTTTGTATTAGCTCTATCTGATCATCTCCAGTTTCTTTTAACATTCAAGTAATATATGTTCTTAGAGCATGCCCAATTTTTGTGATATCTTACCACTCATGTGTTATCAATCATGACTATATTAGATGTCTTACTATGTAAAAAATCTATTGTGGTTTTAAAGCATGTAGCAATGACAATAGTTGGAGAATGATATGATGATTGATTATTTCCCTATTGGATTGATTGCCTGAATGATGGAATTTTTGTATTAGCTCTATCTGATCATTCTCCTATAAAATAGAATCATGATTATATTTATAATAATTGAAATTATGGCTTACCCTTACCCATTTAGTGATATAATAATTTTGGTTGATCTTTTTATTAAATCAACATCAGTTCTCACCCTTGATACTTTCTTCTAGAAAAATACAATTAGCTATTTGACATATTGAAAGCTATGAATTTATTATGCTTTTGAAACTTCAATCTAATTATTTTTCTTTTGGTCAGTGGTCCTCGTGAAGATGCTACTCGAATTGGTTCTGCTGGAGTTGTGAGAAGACAGGCAGTGGATATATATCTCACCCCTTCGTCGTGTTAATCAAGCTATATATCTTCTCACTACTGGTGCATGCGAAGCTGCTTTTAGAAATATTAAGACAATTGTTGAATGTTTGGCTGATGAACTAATTAATGCAGCGAAAGGTTCATCCAACAGGTATGCTTTTACAATTTGTTCTCTGGTACATAAAGTTGGTGATGATAAGTTTAATCTTTGTAGCAGTAATGGAGGCACCAGTTTAATCTTTTGTAATTTGAAATATTGTAGGGAGATTTTCATGCTGCTATGAACTTTGCAGCAGTAATGGAGGCACCAGTTGTTTTCATATGTCGTAACAACGGATGGGCCATCAATAGACCTGTCGAAGAAAAATTTCGAAGTACTCTATACAAATTCTTCCTACTTAAGTTGTTTTTTTTTCAAACAAGCTCTATATCATTCTCAAGTCTATGTGATTAATTTTGGTGTTTGGTTAGGTGATGGTAATATACTTGGTTGTAATTTATACTTGTGTTAATATACTTGGTTCTACATAATTTTGTGATAATGAAAAGAAGAGTTAATTTTCTGATAATTTTGGGTGTAATTTGTTGATTGAGTTGGATAGTCTGATTTGGGGGTAAATTGTTAAATGGGAAAACTGCATTTGATTTGTGTGATTATCAAAAAAAAAAAACAACTTCTTAGGTCGGTTAATTATACCCGATTTAAGAAGTAAGTTCTTAGGTCGGGTATAAATGGTTTCTGCAGGCTAGACTTATTAAGTCGGGTTCTGCCTAACCGACCTAAGAAGTTGTTTCTTAAGTCAGGTCCACAACCGACTTAAGAAGTCAAAACTTCTTATGTCGATAATTCTTAGGTCGGGCTCGGACTCGACTTAAAAAGTCATTTTTAACCGACTTAAGAAGCCTTTTTTCCACTAGTGTCATGCTCATCTCATTCATAATCAATACTTAGGCATAAAAGCCAATACTCCACATAATTCAATTAAAAATAACAACATAAAGTAGAGTACATAAAGAATCTCTCAAAACATGAAGTTGAAACATTCTCGTGTTACATAATCAGAGTACGACTCAACCCAAAATAAATAAATAAACTAGAACAAGCTACTCCAACGACTATCTCGTGCTAGAAGCAATTCTACTCCTTGGTACCTGAGCGATGCCATATAAACATCATTCCAACAGAAGGGTGAGAATTCACATAATTATTGAAATCATAAGATAATATATAATATATAACATACAAGCATATCATAATGATTCTCGCACTTCCAAAAAGCTTCATAAACATATTATAACTGAAATAACCAACCATTCACAAGTACATACTCACACTTCCATAAATTCATCAATTTCACATATTACACAATGCGACTCAATACAAGACTCAAATGCAACTCATGCAATGCGGTACCAAACACTTATTATTTTTCAGTTTTTACATTAAACCGGGTTCGTTATCTAGATCAATAACATACAAAAATTTCATTCCCTAAGCTTTCAAACCCCGCTCTAGGTTTGTGACAAGTCACTAGTTCCCATGGAACTAACAAGCATTTTCCCTTGACACAAATGATACGTATGCTAATTCAACATTCATATGCAATTAAGAACATGCAAAAAATCTTAATATCCATGCATATCTTCAATAATTCATCACACTTGAATTACCACACATTTGCACATACACAAATATCAACACAATCCAACCTCAATTCACAAAATACACATTTTCGATTAAACATAAAATAATCAGATCCATCAATAATAATTAAATATTCGATATTTAATAAATATTCACTATTCAATTCAATATTCAATAGTTATTCAACATTGCATAATTAATCAATATTTTAACAAATAATTATTATTTTAATAAATAATCAATATTTTGATAAATAATCAATATTTAATTAATTAATTAATATTGAATAAATATTTAATATTTTTTAAGATTTTATTATTTAATAAAGTCCCATTATTCCATAAGGTTCCACTTCAATAAGTAATATAACGAATGGAACTCCCTTTATTATCATGCGCTACATGGCAATGAACGAAAGGGATTACAATTTATTTCCACTAAATCCTTCAAGTACTGCGCTACTTGATGATAAAAGAAGGTGCACTTTCATTTCTTATACTATCGCTACAGTGCCAAAGGAGTATGGAATACTCACATTACGTTTCACTTCTTTTCAAATGCTAGCGCTGCAACACGTAGAAATAAAGTGTCACAATGTTCATTTCAATTAATACTGCGCTACATCTTATAGGTTTTCACTACAGTGAAAATTGTGGAAAAGAATTATATACATAATCCTATCACTCTGCCGCTACAGTAATGAATAGAGATATCATGATGTAGAAAAATTCACATATATTACTCTTATCCTTTTATGGTGCACTACAATAATAAATAAAAGGAAGTCACAATTTCATGACCAATCACTATTCCTGCTACCTTATCATGGGAAATACAAGAAAAAAGGTGGCGGCCTATGTAGTGAGAAAAAATATATTTAATGTCCTATGTTGTGTTGGTGCAAAGATAGAATAAATGATGAAATAGGAAATATTACTAATAAGAGAATGACGGCTACAAACATGATATTAGGTTACAATGATTGTCACCCTATTTATAAGCTAAAACTAGGGTTACTAGAATAAGATAAATACTAAAATACCCTCTAACAAACTTAGGGGCTAAGAAAATAGTACAACTAAATAAATATGAATTATTAATAATATTCTAATACCATCCCTTAATTCATATTCCATCAAAACTTGTAACACCAATTCCATCCCTTAATCTGAGAAATTGATCAGTCTTGATAGCTTTCGTCAGAACATCTGCCAACTGCTTCTGTGTGCTGCAGTGTACAACTTCTAACACTCCACTCTGAACTTGATGTCTCAGAAAATGATACTTGGTCTCAATATGCTTGCTTCTCCCATGTAACACTGGGTTTCTAGCAAGATTGATTGCAGACTTATTGTCAATCATCAACTTCAGAGGTTTGTCTACTTTAATCTTCAGATCCTGCAACAGATTCAGAATCCACACAGCTTGGCATGCAGTAACAGCACCTGCAATGTATTCAGCTTCACAGGTTGACAACGCCACAACAGGTTGCTTCTTGGAACACCAAGAAATGGGACCTCCCAGAAATTTGAACAAGTACCCAGATGTACTTCTTCTGTCAACTCTGTCTCCACACCAATCAGAGTCTGAATAACTCAGAAGTTCTGACTCATTATTTCCTCCAGAGGGAAATAACACTCCATACTTCAGAGTTCCTTTGATATACCTCAGAATCCTGACAGCAGCTTGGTAATGGGACCACTTAGGTTTACTCATGAACCTACTAACCATCCCAACTGAGTAGCAAATATCAGGTCTGGTATTGCACAGATACCTCAGAGAACCAACCAACTGTTTGAAGGTTGTAGCATCCACAT